TTTTTTTAAAAGAACTTTACAATAACCACATCTCCCTATGAAACTTGAAAGATCAAAATATGGCATTTATTAAACTGGAGAAAAGAGAAAGACTAGAGGGACCATGAAAAGATTTTTACAGGTCAACGTCATGTAGAGCAGATGAAGTTAAGTGTAAGCTAGAGATCACTAGGATTGAGGAGTAGAGCACCAAGTCTGATCCTGACCCATGTAACTTTCTTCAGCCCACAGTCCTTGTAAAGACCCTTGAGAATATTGGTTTCATTAAGGGCATTCAGTTTGTACAGCAATTCATGAAGTTTTGAAGTGAGCTTTGACAGGACCACTGCTTCAGAGATATTACTACACTGCCAATCTTTGGTATAAGTTGGAAATATAAAGTTCTAATAAAGATATGAGGACAGAAGAGTGCTCTGTGTTCATGCAGCAATGGGACCTACTCCAGCATCAGTAAACTGGCCAAGCATAGCCAAATAGAAATGTAAGGTTCTATCACAGAGGGAAGTCTGAGGTCAATGCTAGTGTCAGTTCTTGGGCTTATTTCCAGCCAGATTCAGGGCTGGCGCGAAGTTGGGGGAGAGCGCTGTGAAGGGCACATGGAAGGAGGCACACATGGGCTGGAAATGACAGTTTCCTTCAATCCTGCATCTTAGGTGTCTGGTCTAAGCCCCTATTTGTCTGTTCTAAATGCATCACCTCAGTCTAGACCCTGTTCTAGCTTTATGGAAATGGGTTATGGATGAAAAATAAATGCATCTATTACTTAGGAGGAGGAGATATAAAAAGGGAAAGTGCATGAGCAAAAATGTTCAAAAAAGAGTCCACCCCCACCCCGAAGCCCAAGAAATAGTGTCCAACAGCATTACATAATTCTGCTCATCATCCCAAACTAGTACTATGCCTTCTCATTTGGAATTAGAAGATGGTATATTTCAAAAATTTGGATTATCACAGATGAAACTTAGTCATAAAACTTATTTATTTGTATTAAAAATCTAGTATGAAATTTATTCTTGAAAATGGGTGATAACCCTATTCCTATTTCTACCACTCATTGATATGAAGAGATTCCGAGATAATAATGAACTCAATTTCCAGTGAAAATATTTAAAGCTAATATAATATAATTAAATTATCCTAATTTTAGGATATTTTTCAGTTGCCAACTTCTAATCAGATGACCGTAACTTCTCACCATTGAGTTAAACAGATACTTCATATTGGTATCAGAATATAATATCTTGCAAAATGAAAACCTTTCAAAGGCAATGACTTCTGAGGCTTATTTAAATATAAAGTAACAGAGAAAAGGACACTTAGACTGTTAGGTTCCTGGCTTAATTGTAACAAAAGTCACTATGTTTAAATATAAGTGAATTAATGTTATATGCAGTACTTAGTGAAATTTTTTCCCATTTATAAGGAAGTTAACCTTTTCAATTTAATATCTTTGATTTCCAAACCCAATTGCAAGTAAAAATAAAACTATCCAGTTTCGATGAATTTCTGAGACTTGTGAACTCAGTTTTTAATTGTAAGTTTCATGAAGTCCATAACAATCCACATATTATCTATGTATTTCCACTTATTAATCTCCCTGGGGCAGAAGTTTTATGTTTATTTGTTAATTAACTGTTTGCTAATTAATTTATGAGGATTTTAACATGTGCATCCTGACTTATGAATTGAAGTCACGATAGTGAAAAAAAAGATTAGTTGCTACACTGTCTTGAGTCTTAATCAGTATAAGAAATCTCTTCATAAAGACAGGCTTCATATTAATACAAAAGTGAAAAAATCATTATAAGTATTTGAGAATTTTTCTCAGACCACTTGTCACTGTATTAATTTGTAGCCCATTGAAAAACAAAAAGAACTGATCTAACTCTCCACTAAGTCTTTCTACTAAAATGTATTTTTAAGTATCTAGTTTTTTTGCTTTTAAAGTATTTTATAGATCTATAGATTTTGAGCATTGATCCTGTGTGATACATACTCCTTTGAGTAAATCAAGAATCAGTTCATTATGATAGATGACAATATGTAGGTTCAGATAGAATATGTGACTTAGATTAAGTGCAGAGCATTAGTAAATACATACGATATCAGAACTCAGAAATATCTATTCCCCATCAAATGTGTTTTCTGCTCTACAACCACAAGTGGCTGAATGTAAGAATAAACACTGAGATTTTTCAATGCAATAAAAAAAAAATTAGAGGCTCTAAAACTTTCTTATTTTGTGGTTGTTGATCATGTATACCCTGGATATAAAGTTCCCTTAAAATGCAGAGTACATTGAAATTCTTCTTTTCTGGAAGTAAAATACAATCGTGTCTATTGGCAAGGTTCATGCTACAAATACTAGCCACAAACAAACATACAAGGAAGTAACACAAAAGTACAAGTACATCACTGCTGTCGTCAAACCCACTCTAACTGCCACCACAAGGAGACAAAAATATGACCTCCAAAGACTGCAAAGGCAATAGGTTCACAGGGAAAGAGAAGCACATGTAGATCTGATCACAGAAAACCTTCCGCAGGCCCTCTCTAGTGGCTCAGTAGATTGGGATGCAGCACTGCAAGCAAGTTGCAGCCTTTACAGTGCCTGTTTTATCCCCACCCTGGAGGTGACCCACATGGCACGGAGGCTCTCTCCTATCTCCCCCACTGCTCCCCTTAGCAGTGTATTTCAGTCAATCTGCCTGTTCTGCTCCCCACTCTGTTTCTGGTGAACCCTCCCACTCTCTGTTCCTCTGGCTGTACCCCAGTTCTGTATGCATAAATAAATAAATCTTTAAAAAAAAAAAAAAAAACTTCCCATGGCCCATTTACTCTCTATGAGTAGCAGTAGCTATAGCAATATATACAGCTACTCACTTTACTTCCCTTTGCTATTATATAACTATATCCTAATAGTTTTTACCATCTTTAAAATGTGATACCCACATAAAAGTAAATTTGGATAAATTTGTCTAAGAGAGTTAAGTTTTAAAAGGGAAGGTGGAAAGAAAGATAGGTAGAGGACTATTTCAAACTGAGTGATTAATAACACTAGTCCCCTTGGATTGCGGTACAGAATTTTAATTCACTATTGTGAAGTTCAAAACTTCTATTTTTCATGCCTGGCATTCCTCCATAACTCTGGTCAGTAATGATTGAGTGTGAGTAATGGCTTTTACACCATAAAATGATGGCTTATTCCTCCTACAAATTTGTCATTCTTAGCTGTGAACTTTGGCAGACCCTTAAAACTGATCTTCCACCATGAGCTAGAGGAAGTGCTTTCACAATAGTCCATCCACTAATTACACCAGTTGTAGCTATGGTTGTACAGAGCACAAATTAAGATCCTGGGGAATTGGCTCCTAATTTCAGTTTCATCTAAGCCGCTTAAAAGAATCACTCAATTGCTCAGTTTCTAGTATCTGATGAAGACAACACTTATCCCTAGCTACCCATTTTTTGTAAGAAGATATTCTAAGGGGCACAACATTGAATTCTTTAAAAATACATCAAACTCTAGGTGATACTATTTTCATTAGTATTTATTCTTTCTGAGGAATGAGTCCCCCTGATACATTACTAACATTAAACTAAACCCAAATATCTACTTTCACACTCTCATGGCTTTTACCTAGTCACTGTTTTAATGCCAGTGTGGCGCATATCTCCTTTCCAGTTCTTTTGTTACAATAAGCTGAATATAAGGACATGGTTGTTCTTGGATGTCTTAATTTTAAATGGTAGCTTGGTAGTTTCTTACTGAGGTATATGGCTCTTGGATCTTGAGCTCCTATGTGTGCTCGCTCTCTCTTTCATTCTCTCTCTCCCTTACCCACACACAAACACACACACTTCTCATTCCTTTCAATCTCCCTCTCTCTTCCTTTCCTTTTACTACTATTCCTTCCCCCACACCCACCTGTGGAAGTCATGAGAATCTGTGGACTTTACTTAACCTGCCAACATCACTCAGGGTTAAAATCACACTGAATCGTGATCTGAGCAACATTAGCAGTGGAAGCTGTAGAAACAGTTGGAACAAATTTAGTCAAACCAGTGAGATGCAAAGTAGAAGCAGAATACTCAAAACCCTCAGTCTATTTTTATATCAACAGACAGAGGTTGTTTGGGAGCTTTTTCTACTTCACATTTTATAGCACTTGCCACTACAGTAGCAATATATTTAAAGCTACTGTGATTACTTAAACTTTATATTCACTAAAGATGATTTTCATTGGCAAAGTTCCCATTGAGTTATTTCAAACTTCTCTGGTAATAAATGTCTTCACAAAATTATAGAAAAGAACAGACATTCCTAGTAGAATTCCATAATTCAGTGGTAGGGGGCTGAAAGATTATTTCTTAATTTCTCCTCCTGGATTTGCTCCTCAGTTTTAAACACTTGGAGGTACAGAACTATCAGATGATAATTGCATCAGTGTCATAATATGCAAAATAAAAACAGTGAATTTGGCTTTCTAAAAGAAAAGCTAAGAAGATAAATGGACATGCAAAGACAATGTCTACATGAAAAATCTACAAATATTAAAGCTATTTAGATATTCTTCTTCTAAAGATCTTCCCCCCCCCCGCAAAAAAAAAAAAAATGACATCTCAAAAGAGAAAGTTTTACAGTGAGCCAAAGTAGGTGCTTAACACATAACCTATTACAAGGTACCTCACACACTCCATTTTTGAACCCAAACCCAATACTGTGTAGGCTCAACGCCCAGATTAAATATTTGTCTTCTACACTGAACTCTTTTACATGTTCACAGGAATTGTGAGCTTTCATTATGTTGGGTAAAAATTTTACTTAGAGCAGATAAAAATGACCACTTACTACATCAGGATGTCCTAGAGTAAAACAAATATTTATAAATTAGCGCTTCAGAACTATTCACATCTGCATTTGCCTTGTGACACCTTTGCCTCGTGCTGCACCACACTCCAGACAATTTTAGCAGAGACAGTAAATGCAGGAATGTTACCTTGACAGAGAGGAGCCTGATGCCAGGTTTTGAGATTTTCCATTGATGCCGTGCAGTCACATTGGTAAAGCCAAAGCCAGTCTTCAGGGTCTTCACCACTTTGCAAGCTGTCAAAATCCTCGTCATTTTGTAGATGTTGAGTAGTGACTACAGTGAAATGAAATTACATATAGTTTGTGAGAATTTTGTTGTAAGAATTTGTAATTAAGGTGAAAGAAAGCTGCGGGAGTGCAGTCGTGTTTAAGACTAACTGCACAGCGATCTTTGAATTTCCATTCAGTCATTAAATGTCTTCAGCCACAGCTCCTCCTTCCCTTAACCCCTCCTCCCAAGGTAATGTCCATAGATGTTCCATGGACATGTAATACAAATTGCAACACATCAAACACTACCTTTCTCTGCTGAAATAATGCTAGTGTTGGAGAAAACTAGTCATCCATCAAAGGAATTGCTTATGCAGCTGAATAGAATGACCTAGCCATGGTGGACAATTTTAGGGATATCACTTACCTTAGAGTAGTAACTTCCTAATGATGCTAAAGATCAAAGGTTTTTATTCATGTTAGATTTGATATCTGACATTTTGGATTCCTAAAGAAACCTGAAAACTGGCCATTTTCTGCATGGACAGAGGCAATGGAACTCACATGTACTGAAAAGGACACCAGAATATTTTTCTACAAACACAGAGTAAATCTATTTTTCATTGATTTTTTTTTACTTAATAAAGCAGTATATTACATTATTTTTTGCTGCACTGTTCTGTGTTCCCAATTTTAAGGTAATTAATAATAAATAAACAACTAGAGCAAAGTAGCCTTATTTCTATCACTCTTATGTGTTAAATATGTGAGAAGTATATAAAACAATGACAAGCACAGCTTTTATGACAAGTGCTATCATTAAGTCAAAAGTTTTTATTCATCAAAATGTTACATGGAAAATTCCTAAAACTTGAGCATTCATGCTTCAACCTGAGTTAAAATTTATTCACTTAGCCTTTCAATCCCGTGATTCACTTAGCCTTTCAATCCCATGCAAAGGATGTCATTGGCTGGTTGAAACTTCACTTAAGTCATGTGGCTATGCAGGTCAGAAGCACACAGAATTATCCTTTGGTATCCTTGCAAAAGGTACCATGAAATTAAGACTCCTTTCTAGGGTTTTCCACGAAGGAAAAAAAATTACATAGAATGGCACAGAGATTGTAAACTTTATTGACCTAAGATGAATGTTAGAATTAGGAAGTAAGAGGATAGGGGTGGGAAAGAAAAAATATAGATGTTGGACATTTAGCAAGAACAGAACAAAGTTTAAGTTCAATCTTCTTCTTAATATATTTGTGTATAAATACTTGAAGTCAGCTACCTTACAGAAAACTGAAAACATTCTCAATGTTAAGCAAATGCTTAATAAAATAAGTCATGTTACAGTAGTATGTTCAAATATAAAAGATTAAATAAGAAAATAGAAAGGAAAGAATGAAGGGAAAGGGAAAGAGAGGGAGGAAAGAAGGGAAAGAAGGAGGGAGGAATCAACTTTCCTTGAGTGTATGCAATAAAATAAAAGTGTGGAATTAAGATGAGTCATGCTATTGTGAAAGAAACAAAAATACATCAAGTCTATGGGGAGTGGGGGGGAGATCAACAGACTAAAAGGATAATATCAACAGCTCAAGCACATGAAATAACATGGCATATTTTCAAAAATGCTGATAAAACCTAGATCCAGGATACAGAGTAGTAAACATGAACTATATCTTGGAAAACTTTTGAACCTTAAAATGGTGGGCCTTAATCCATAATAGTGTTCAAGATAGTGCTTTAAATAAATGTGAATTTGTCTGAAAGAAAGATTACAGAGAATTAAATGGAGAAGGATGAAACCTGCAAAAGAAAACATTAGAGAACAACATAAAAGCAGGGCTTACTTTCAGTCCAACTCTAGGTTCTAGATCAGTACTAGTCTGACCATATTTTCTGAGTGTGTGTGTGTGTGTATACAGATAGATATATAAAATATATACATAAAGTATGATGCTTGTCTTTCCTTATTAGAAACATGATTTTCCATAATTTTTACGGAAAAATATGAATTTAAGTCATATCCATGCAGTAAACTTTGTAGTACATTTTTTCTTCTTTTCCTGAGCTTTAATTAAAATTGACAGATGATATTAAGGAATCCAGATCCTAAGTGAGAAAAAGACACCAGAATACAGTTTTGTAAACATTTATAAAATTGACTGAAAAGAATGATGATTTAAATATGGCTATCCGTAGAGATGTCAACACTCTAGAATATGATTTTATGATTCTAGAACCTAAAAAGAAACGTAAGCCTGAGGGTTATAAAGGACTTTCATTTTGCCAGTAAAAGATCCTAGATAAATAGCTGTGATTTCTAGTCATTAGAACAAAATGTGAAGGGCAGAAGATTTGGAAGAGTTGGTTGAGTGTTCTGAATTAGAGTCTTAAAATTTATCTGTATTGATACCACAATCATCTTGGGGATTAGAAAAATTCAATAATAATGAGTCATTTCAGGTTTGAAGGATCAAGATAAATTATATCTATAGTCATGCTGGGAAAATATTCTTACATTAGTGAGATGTTTACTTCAGGACAGATCAAAGAGTAGAGGTGATAAATTTTGACTGGTAACAAATATTAAAATGAGACATGAAAATTTTAGTGGAATAGTGTACTTTATGAAAGAGAGGTTTTAAAAATGTCTTATAAAAATGTGTCCTCCTTTTTGAATTATTCTTTTTGTCTGATTTACATGACTCCCCCTGCATATGGCAGGCTGCACACAGCTACACGGGTGGCAGGCAAAGACACATGCGCCTACAGAAAAAGGGGGGCTCTGAGCATTTGAAATGTATTTCATGTGTCATGAAGTGTCATCTCATCTTATATGTTATTCTTAAAGCAAAATATTCTATATGAACTTAGCCTTTCTATTTATACCTTTATACTATTCGCAGCACTGGGATACTTTTCTCTGTATATTTTCATGTGAGAATTAAAACTAAATACTTGTCAATTTTGATTAAATAACACTAATGCTTTTGCATTTTTCTGAGGAATTATCTTATTTGTCCCATAAACTGAAAAATGCCTTGAATATAGAGACAAATACAGGAATATATATTATGTGTGTATATAAATAGAATGAGATTAACTATAAATACATAAAAATATAGAGTGAGACAGTAAAGGATTATGGTATCCTTAACTAATATAATCATTCATCATTTCTTAAGAGAATGTGAGCATTATTCAGTCTTTTAAACCTCTAAGCTCAATTAGTTTGATAAATTTGTCTTTAGGATATCTGATAATAAAAATAGTACTATAACAAGTAATAAGTAGTATTTATTTTTATTGATACTTAGAGAAATTTGGAAAATACAGAAAAATGGATAATAGTCCCCAACACAAATGTTGCTAATATTTCAGGATATTTTTGTAGCATCTGTTTCTAGATATGGGTCATAGTTTAAAAGACTGATGGAATTTCATTACATCTTTCTGGATAATATTGTATTAAAAGTATGGTTGCTGTTATTACATGTTTATTTAAAACTTTACGTGTAATGGTTATAAAATATTCCCATTTTCATTGCTTCCAATGATTGCCACTATTGTCACTTTTGGTTGATAATGACAAAATTCTTTTCAAAGAGATGGAACCCATCTCAGACTAATTTGAATATAGAAATGCATGCTCAATACACACCAATCAACACCAGGTATTATATTTTATTTGTTTATTTGACACAGATAATGTTATTTCGTTTTTATTTAAAATTTAAATTACTAGCAAGGTCAATTTATTCCTAAGTCTCTTAATTAGTACTATTTACTTCTTTTATATCTTTTTGTTCCCATTAATGCTTTCATAGTAATTGTAAGGAAAACCTCTTAAAAGTAAACATAGTGACTGTGGCCAAACGATCAGTACATGCTGGATCATCTGATCTCAGAAGCTATGAGATCAGGGTCTGGCTAGTATGTGGATGGAAAAGTAAACATAAAACAACACAAATTAACAGTCTGTATTTGTCTCTATTTAAAGTATGCTCTTCATTTTGGATGAAACACTGGCATAAGTAAGAGGAAACCTGTGTCCAAATGAGAAAAACGAAACCAGTTCATCCTGTAATATATAAGTCTTGTGTTTAGAAATAAAGAGAAAATAATAGTACTAGCAATTCCTTCTTCAAATGTACAGAAAGTGCCTACTACCTCCTTAAAGTGTTTCTGAAACACAATGAATCAGAGTCAGCTTTAAGAAAGTGATGTATCTATCACAGTCTTTAATTTTCAGTGCAAAAGATGCTTCTGGAAAAATAATCCAATGAATGAATGTATTCCTAACTGATCATGATGCCTATTTAAGCAGAAGGAAACAAAATCATGTTAGATTAATGTAAAAAGAAATAAAGGTTGTTAGTAATAGAAAACTGTCAAGAATTCTACAAAAGGCTATTTTGATGAAATAAATTTAAAATACACGTATAGAGAGCAAATAAATTTAGAATAAAAGTCCACCAAAAAGGATAGTTCTACTTTGCTTGAACAAAAAAAATAAATAAATAAAAAGTAAAAATGATTATTATAATTCATGTTTTTTTAATTTTTGTATAAGTAAGATACATATTTCTGTGTAAGTACTTATAAGTAAGTAACATAATAAAGAACACTGTCACAAATAAAGGCATGAACAGCAAGGCTATCTTTTGAAGGATGTGGAGTTGCATCTACTTTCTTCTATTATAGAAACTAGACCAAACTGGTAGATGAATTCCTCAAATAAAGTTTAACCAGTGGAAAATATGTCAAAACTGACAATGGACAGATGTTAAGTTGTAGAATGATGAATGATTGTAGAGACCAAATGCCTTGGAAACCCAAGTGAGACAAATAGATTAAAGTTCAATTGATATTTTGTGGGATAAAAAGTGAGGAACCAATTTTCATGAATGGGTTTATAATGCTAACATTTATAATGTTAAGAAGTGACATAAAGGAAGATGAAAAATAAAGGTGGGAAAGTCCTTTGAAAAAAATGTTTTCACATATTAAAATCTAAGGTACATGTGATTTATGTCCTAGCACAATAAAAAAATGCTATCATTTATTAATACCCCCCACTAGGTAATACCTTAAACAGGCTAGTCGCAATAAGCAGCATTATTTATAAAAATAAATCCTGCCATAATTTCTGCCTTTAAAAAAAAGAGATCACTTTCTAG